AAGGAAAAAAAATGGAATGGAAAGGAAAGAAAATTCGCGAAACTCGCTTGCGCGAAGTGCTTTTGTATAACGCGGCTTAATTTAATCAGCAAGCGAACAACGAGACGAACCACGCAGGTTCGCGCCGGTAGGAGCCGAGATCGTTCAAATATTGATAAATCGAATTATGAAACTTATTCGACGTATCCGTGACTCGTATAGTCGATAAACCGTTCCCTCTACGACGAAAGAGAATAACGATTGGTCGCACGAGCTTTTGCTCTAATGAATATCGTCGAGTTCGAAATCCGTTTTCCCATTAAACGTTGGTTGCATCTTTTAAAAATTCATTACACAAATTAATCGGCTCGATTCACTAGTAATTAGTGATTTTACTTTACGAATGATCGCACGTTAAAGGTGATATTATGTCGTATTAATGATTACACGATTGATTATTCGTCCGATTACGTCAAAGAATTCAATATTCTCTTGGAATTAAATACATTGCGCAAATATTTCTAGATTCTAGATGTTTTATGTTTGACGTAACTTGGATTAAAGTTTCATTATGAAAATTCTAAACAAACGCGACAGAGAGTAATATGTTAAAAAATGTATTTACATCAATTTATGTAGAATCCCGTTGAATGATTGAAATGTCGACAAATTTCAAATTGAATGTCCTCGTTGTCTTCCAGTTGTCCGATCGATATTTCACAGCTCGTGTGACCTCATAAAAGTACGTCGAAAGATCGATGGTCGGTACGCCGTGTTCGCGGACGATTATTGCACAAATAATAACGTCGAAAAAATGGTCCTTCGTGCGGAACGAGAGCAAGAAATAAAGAGAGAGAGAGAGAGAGAGAGAAAAAGATGTAGAGAGAAAACGCGAAAATGACAGAAAGCTGCCAAGATATATGACCGGAAAGGATAAGAGGATAATATTTTATTTCTCGTTATACCTTTTTAAATTAAATACCTTAAGAGCGTTTTTATTTAAATACCGAGAGAATAATTATACGCATTAAATTTATGATGAATTTTCGATACAAAAGGATTTAGCGATTTGGCGAAACAATACCAATCAAAAATAATTCTTGATAAAGAAAATTATATATTAGATAATATTATTCGAAGCTGTTAAACTTTAATGAGATTTCTTTATTTGCAATATAATAATTACAAAGGTGGCTTTAGAAAAGTATAGAAAATAATCTAGATCAACGAAATATAATATATTCGATGTTCGATGATTTAAACGCGTAACGTTTCTGACATAATTGTCCAAGCGAAATTGAAGTTCGACGAGAGAACATTGACTAACGATTAAAATTACTCTCTCTATCTACGTATGTATACGTATTTATTTATCAATGAAATTGTTAAACGAATTCAAATAATTTCTATATCGAAATATCAAAAGCTCCTGTATAGTTATCGTATTAAGCTCATTATTTTCTTAAACTAACAATCTCGCGTATTAAACGAGAAAGTTATAATCGTGATTCCCGCGGTGACATCTAATCCCTTCATTATAATATACGCAACGTTATTAGAAACTAATTATATGAAACACGTCACATAGAGAGATATATATTCGTCGGTCAACGAAACATAAATTTCGTCCTGCGTGAATATGAAATCTAAATTTGAGAGTATTAAATATCGAATGCGATTCTAGGTTTGTTAACGAACAAATCCTATGAAGGTAATGACTCGCTAAAATAGCATAACGTACGTACCTACATAGTTAGATGCATGTGTAGACCCATTCACGAAATTACCTTTTGACTCTTTAATGTATATATAATATTATAAATATATGTATAACATATGTATATAGCGCTATAATACGTGAATAAATGAAAATTTAAATTTTCATTTGCAACTAACGAAAGCAATAGGATCTATCAATTTGTAGAAATTTCATCAACGAAATTTATTCGATTTCAAATCATTTTAAAAACCACAAAAATGTTTCGACTTGTCGTTAATTTGTTTTCTCTCTATATTTTTCTCATCATTCTCTAAATCAAGTGTATCGTTATCGAAAAAAATGTATCAAGATCGTATATCTTTTCTCGAAAGAATCAAATTTATCTATAAAGATTGGTTACAATGGTTCAATGTTTTTTATATCTTCTTGCGTATATTCTAAGGCAAATCTTGAAGAAAGTAAATCTCGCGAAATGGTAAAAACGGCATGTTTCTACGGTAAAGTATGCATCCACTTGATAGTCACAGATATCGTCCTAGCTGTATAAATTTAAGAGATCGGCCCTCTCATTCACACTCGCTTCGAATGGGGTGGAGCATTGGAAGATCCGTACTGAGGATTGGACAATTCCAAAGGCGCAAGTTTTGATGAAATACGTTCCCTCCAAGTAGAAACGCAAAGTAGGAAGTCTCCTTGAACGCGGCCACGAATAACTACCGAAAATAGGCCACAACGAAAAGAAAAATGATCAAGATATTCCACATTTACCTAATATTCTTCCTATCTTTTTTTTTTTTTAAATATAAATTCGTCAATTTCGTCAATCGTATTCTAACAAATCAAATAATGGAATTTGAAATCTACTATACAATAGATTTAAAAAAATTATAAACTCTTTGGTTGAATAAAAAAAAAAGAGAAAGAAAACAATTTTTTAAAAACCCCATGAAAGCTTCGTATAAACTAATTTTATTAAAAATTTATTTTTTCACGTAGAATCAGCAGATTCCAAGTTAAATCTACTTCTAGTTATAAAACACCCCATACATATATCTATATAGCTTTTTTCTCGACTTCGTTTTTCCATAATCATAGTTCGAGCAACTTTATTCTCTCCCGTTGCCACTAACATCGTCGCCTACTTCTGCTCCTGTCACCTATTTTTCGATGGATATTACTTCCCTCGTGATTCCTTCCAAAGCACCCAATTCCTTCGAGATATGTTGGATGCGTGTTCGATTATGTTTTCGATCGTATTATAGAGAATTTGTAAAGTCACTTTGATGCATATAATCAGACGAAGAAACCTCAAAAGATATCTAAAAACATCATCGTTTTTTTTTTCAGGAAATATTGAAGAAGAAAACGAGAAAAGTCCTATATGTATTACTTGATACGATAGTAAGTAGTAAAACCTATTATATATCAGACGCGTACTGCACATCTCATAAAACTAAAGAAATTAAGCTGTGTTAGTATTATTAGTGATCTGATTTCTAATAATTTGATAGTAATTGTAATAATTAACTCGAATGAATAACCAATCATTAAGGTAACATTCGGATGTTCGATGATAACATCGTTAGAACGCACATCGATTTTCCATTTTGATTGCTCACGGTAGAACGGCCGAGGTAGTTTGGTGTCCAAGCAACGTCGAGGTCACCGACTACGATATCTTGGACGCGTTTACGTTTCATAATTTCCGATGTGTGAACTCGATATCGATTTCCTTTAGCAGAACTAACCCAGACCTTTACGATACTCTCATTTTATCGTACTACGACTGCGTTACGTTCGTTGCGTTACGCTCATTCTCTCTTATTCTCTCCCATTCTCTCGCTTATTTCTTTTCTTTTAGTTGCCTGCCTGCCTTCTGTTGATTCAGTTTTTACACTTTCAACAGCAACAGCAAAAGCGTGTCGTGCCGACTTGATGGAAAAACTTTGCGAGTCTGATTGAAAAAGAAAAAGAAAGAGAAAATTAGTTTAGCAATTCAAACGACACTGTTAGAAGGTAAAGTCGTGTTGCACGTTTTGGCCAAATTCTGACCGTAATAAAAACAACAAATTCCGACCACATCTCGAGTACTCTTCCACTTTTAAATACTAATCTTCTATATTATCTATGTAATCATCGATTACACCGATAAAGACCCGTAATGCGTACTTGACAATCTAATGACACAATCTACCATGCTAAAGTCATATCTCCGTTAATCGAACGATTAAAGATAGACGTTGAAGATATTGCAATTTCACGTTCACTCTAGTCCGATGTGTTACGCAAATCGATCGAATGTCGTGCTTTCATTAAATTATTATTAAAAGCGACAGTAACTGTTCTGTTCGTAAAATTCAATTTTCATCAGCTTCTATAGCCCATAAGACGGTTATTATTCTAAATTATTCCCAGAGTTGTTCATTAACAGCCGGTGTATCAACATTTTTCTCAGAATTAACATAAATGCGCGCGTAAATCATGTGCTGACATAACGCACCGATGTCTGCGATCACGTACCTATGCGCAAATTTTCTTGCTGATTTATGCAAATTATTGGTACGTCCGAGGTTAACATACCACGCGCCGCATGATCGCGAAACGTTTCTACGTAATATCCACAGTCGTACAGGCGCGGTACAAGCGTGTATAGAATAGAAGGATTTCATTAGCATTCACGATTAATTTTCAATAACGTTGTCTGGTTACTACCAGATGAAATAATATGCTAGAAATAATAACGGTGTGCGAGTAAACTAACGAGAAATTTATTCCTCCAAATGAAATATAAATGCTACGTTTTCCTAAATTTCTATAAGAGTCAATTTAATACAATGTGTACAATTTATAACAAAATATATTAAACAATCTTTCTTTGAAAACTGATCGTCGCACAGTTAGGAAAAGAACAAAATAAATAAAATATGTATTGTGTGGGAATTATAATTCGATTGAATGTGTAGGGAAAAAAAGGGAGAGTGGAGTGGCGAAGGTCATGGGAAGATCAGGTGTTAGGTCTCACTTTTATGACACGAAAATCAGTTTCCACGCGGACTCGTTGAAAGTTTTAGCGGAAACGAGCCCCGACGGTCATATCCATCACTGTCGGCGGCCTCGTTGCATTAAGCATAGACGACACAGAACGATAAATTCCGAACATTTTCTTTTGCATCTCCCATAAATCATAATTTGCGAGTTGTGCTTGGTTAATTCCACCGCGAGTTGAAACAACCAAGTATGGTTAACACGGAAAGAGAAAGAAACAAATAAAGATAATGAAGAAGCGAAGAAAAAATCTCACCTGGAAGATAATCGTGAAAGTCCTTTAAGAAATGTTCTCCTAATTTAAAAATCACGAGATTAGAAAATCACTCGTCTCGTCTTGTAACCCCCATCATTACTAGGACCGGTATCACAACCACCAGCATCACTACCACCATCACAAACAGCAATGACGATGCCACTGAACGGAATTTTGACAACACTCGCGAACATTCACAGCTCGACTTTTTTACACATCCAACGACGAGAAAATATAACAGTCAAGATACGCGTTCACCGTCCTATCGTATGTAAAATCCGTAACGGTAACCTCTCGAGTCTCTTCGTGATGTCTCCAAAGAAAATCCTCGTTCATAACCCGGCAAATTTGATACTAAGCTCGTCGATCACGAAAAACTACAGAACTGCAAAAGAAAAGACGTTCAAGGTTTCTCTAATCGTTTTAGTTTCGTCCGATACTTCGCTTTATACACGAGAAAGGGTTTTTCTTCTCTCTAATGAAAAGAGAAAGGAAAAGAGAGAGAGATAGAGAGAGAGAAAAGAGAAAGAGAAAGAGAGAAAGGAAGGAGTGATCGGGCTCTCCTCGATAGTTTATCAACACACACGTGACGAAACGAGCTAGAACACACAGGAGAGCACACCTAAGATCTTTGCACGAACGAAGAGCACGCACGAAAACACGCGATTAACGGAGATGGAAAGAGACGTAAGAGATGAGAAACGCATAAGATCTAAAGGACCAGATACGCGCGTCTCTACGTGTCTAATATACAACGATGTATGTATACAGAATGAATGAGCAAGTGAGTGAGTGAGTGAATGAGTGAGTGAGTGAGTAAATAGACAGGCAGACGAAGATAACGTGAGTGAGAACGAATGGATGAGAGAGTGTGCGTGAAAAGAGAAAGAGAGAGAGAGCAAGTATGACTGACTGGCTATGAAATAGAATGAGAAAGAAAAAGAGAGAGAGAAAGAGAGGAGGGAGGACCAAGAAAAGGAGCGGCACAAGCGAGCCCGAACGGCGCCTCGAAGCTTGCGAGACGAACTACGGCACCGGAATGAAAAGCTCCGCAAGCTCTCGCGCAGCCCGACGCCAGAGACTCCACTGGCCACCCCCGTTCGACAACGCCATCCCACCCCCATCCTTTTCTCCACCTATCGTGCCGAGCGCGCCACGGTCGATTCTGCGGCTTACACTTCGGCCGGCGTGCGTGTTCGCTGGACCAGGGATGCTGCGAGAATTCTGACGAGATACGTGATACGTACGCTGGAAACGATGCGATGCTCGATGCGAAAACTTCGAGCCTCCGCATGACGAGATTACTTTCGTCGCGTTATACGTGTGCACACCTAAATACATACGCTCTCGTTTCCTTTGATTATTTTCTATTCTCTGTTTTTCTCCCCACACCCCATCCAACCCCACTCTTTATTCACATTTTTCCTTCTTTTACTCTAGTTAACGTGATTTCTTTTTTTTATTTTATTTCTTTCTCGTTAGTATCGTATACCTATGTTCCGCGAGATCGAGAAGGAATTTTTATTTTGTTTTCTTTCTTTTACTTTCTTTTTTTATTTTTAATAATTTTTTTTTTTTGTTTTGTTTCAGGAGAAGTAGCGAAGTGGAAGTTTTTCCAGAGGAGAATATAAATAAAAGCGGAAAGTATGTACGAGGTGAAAAGATGAAATCGATTTTAGCCAGCAGGCGTATATCCACTGGACCGGTGATGTTGCGAGACGAAGATGTTCTTATCGATAGAGGGCAGTGCATCGTACTCAGCCTTTTACACTTTCGGTCCAAGTTTCTTACGTTTAAAGGTACCTACTTCAATCTACCGATAGAAAGTGAAAATTTTTCAACATGAGTTTGTCATTTCTTTAGGAAATCTAGGTATCTATCATACTTTCATTGATGTTCTTTGTTTTTAGATTTAAATAATAAATCACCAATGTGTTCGATTTTGTATGCATATAGAAATAAAATAAAATACATGTTGTTGAGTAAAAAATAAAATTTGCCACTTCATTTGGAGGGAAATTTCGTCGTTAATTAATGAACAACAAAGATGTTTGAATATTTAAACTGTTGGTTTCTTGCATAGACATATATATTTATATATTTTCTGTATGTACACGTACTCGTATGATAAGCGTTTACAGTACACTTGCGTACGGGTCTCAATATAACGTCGTACATAGGCGAAGCACGTTCTTCTTCAATGGATTTTCTAGGGAAGTACGTATAGAAAACACGCTCTACCTACCAAAAAGATCAAATAAAACGAAAGAATTGATAGTAGAAAAAGCAGCGATACTTTTAACTTAAAATCACTCTTTTATATAAACGAAAACGTAAATGTCTATAGAAATAAAACCTATTATAGTTATATAAAGTGAAAATAAAAATGACTTATTACGAATCCTTTCGATCGTCGGTTACGATTGCAATGAGGAGAAGGAATAAAGACAAAAAAAAAAAAAAATAGAAAAATTTCCGGTAATTTTTAGCGAGATTTCTCTCTATTTTTTCCTTTACTCTCTCTCATTCTCTTTCTCTCTTGAATATTCAACAAAAGAGATGAGAGAATATCGAGCACAGGAGAAGTCTGACAAAATCACGGAGCGTTCATCTCGGATTAAAGCAATCGTCTCAGATTAAAGTCGAGTATTCCTCAAAACCATCCTCTCACTTTCTCGAAATTGCAAGGTTACTATTCTGAAATACGCTACCGACATCATCAATGCGCTCTTGTCTTTCTTGGAACTTGATCTGTAAGAATCTGTGAGTCTTTCTCAAGGAAAATGAATGTAAAGAGAGGAAAGAATAAGTACTTTTGTAGAAGATATCACGTTCGTGTTTTATAGTTTAATAAGACGTTCTACGTAGCCTTGAAACTTTCCTTTCCAAAGATAAGTAATAAATAGTTATCAAGATCTTTTTCAGATACTTCCAAGTAATACGAAATATGGAACATAAATAATGAACCGTATAATGAGACTACTTTTAGTTCGTCTCAAGGTTTATGTAAAACGAAAAAATATCTAGTTAGGATAGTGCACGATTAGCTCTACAGAAATAATTATTATATATATAATCAGGTCAAATTACATTAATTGTGTCTACATATTTTGGTAATAAAAAAAAAAAAAAAAAAGATTATGAAGTATTGCGTATAGAAAAATAACGTTGTAGAAGATGACAAAAATGGTGTCGTTGATTACACGTTGACGCACCCTGCTTCGAGCTTAACCCGGTCTCCAAAAGCTAGAGTCTGCAAGCTTCAAGGTTTACTCTCCTCGTTCACCGCGCAGACTCTGCGAGATCCCGCGGAGAAAAGGATAGAGGATATCGATTCAGTTCTACCAACGGAAGGGATTTTTTTTACTAACTTTGACTCGATCCTAGGCGAGGTTGACTCGACTAACAATGAGATGTGATTTTCCTTCTCTCTTAACTTTCTTTTTTTTTTACCACAAATCAAAATATCTACATAGAAAAAAAATACAAATAATAGACAAAATGAAGAAAAGGCCATCGAGTGAATTCATCAAATTTGATTCTTAGAAAAGTAAGTAAGTCGCACACATTCCAAGTTGACGTTAAGAAGAATGAAGTTACTCGAGCTACTCCAGCCACTGAAAATTGAAGTGTCTCTGAAGAGGTTTACGACCGACTACTAATGGCTGGACCAATTTCGGCAGATGTTTTCGGTAGCTCTTTACACCAAAGCTTCGCGGCTAAATTTTCTCGTAAATGAGAGCTTTTACCCTTCTGTTAATACTTCTGTTCGAACTTTGTTTTTATTCGATCGCAAATGAATTTGAAAACACTTGCTGAATTTACGTATGCGTAAGCACATAAGTACGCGCACGAATCAAAGCTATCACAACCCTTGAGAATGACTCTATATAGTAATATTTTATTTAATATGATAGGTTTTCATTTGCTAAATTTCCTATCTATAATTAATGACAAACGAGAGTAATCTCAAATGACAACTATTAGAAATACATATGTATGTATTTTCGTGATTAAGTTTTCAACGATTTAAATAAAATCATCCCTAAATTATTCATAATCGATTTTGGTTATTGTGGAAATATCTATTCATTATCATGAGACCTGATTATGAAAATACATATGATTGAGTAATCGAAAATGATTTGTAACAATTTATTGATGATTAAACTTTAAAAAAACAAACACTGCAAATGTTTTGCAACGAAAGATCTTTTCGTTGATTTAAAAAACTATTAAACTCTAGGCAGGATGATTTTTGAAGTTTTTTACTGAAAATGTTTCCACCTGTTGTTCAGTACTTTGCAATTCTTCTAATTCAAAAAAACACGTTGTCGAGATTTGGTGCTTGTGCTTTACAGAAGAAACAAAAATTAGAGTTTTTTTTTAGCTCTTTTCTTTTATCCCTTTTTACATACTTTCTCTCCTATTTCGTATCTCTCTCTTTCTCTTTTCTCTTGACGTTGAAATTGTTCGATTGACGTCGGGAAATATTCGGAACGTTTTTTCTCTCCTTGTAGCTTTTAGTAACGTTCCCCCACGAGAGAATCTCGTATACGTGGGCTTTCACAGAGTGCTTCATTCGCCATAATTCAGCGAACCGAAACGGACCAAACGAAGCAGACTGGACGATATACTCGTCTGAATACATGCTTTGGCAAACGTCCTCTTTCTAGATTTCATTGTCATTCTCGAAAGATTGAAATTCGACGGTATGTCCGAAGTATTTCATTTTTTCCACCATATACCGATCATTTATTTTCTTAATATTAATTATTATCGATATTGTTTTAAAAATTTCAAATAGTTTAACCCGATTCATTCCTTTTTTCTGTTTTTTTTTTCTTGTTGACATAAACTTCGTAGCTTTTGATTTGTTCGTACGTAGCATGTAATAAATGTTTCTTTGATGTCTTGACTCGTAACACGAAGGAAAGAGAATGCTTCTTAAAAGTCGTACCAATGGAAAATCCGGTAAGCGCAAAGTCATTCGGTCTTGCGTGCATTGTTTCTATCATTGTTCGAAAGGTAGGTCAAAGGGAATTGACTAACGGTTACTTTCGCACGTTCGACCTTTTAACGTGCGGTCCAACGGGGAATAGGAAACTCCTGAATTGTCCTAAAGTGCTTTGGCACGGTTTAGCGAGAATCAGGCCCGTAACAGCTGTTGAACGGATTTATTCTTCCTGTCGTGTCGTATCGTCCGTTGAATTATTGAATCGGATAGCACTTCTCGCGAAACGATTAAGTGACACCTAACAAAACAACCACGTATATTCTTTTTTATTTCGCTCCTACAACTAAAATCATCTGCGCTTTTCAAATCAACAATCATTTTTAATTAATGTATTTCTCTAAAGCAAATATTTGATTGTACGTCAACTATTAAGAAGCTTGGCTTTAAGTAATGAGTGTATCTTTGTTGCTGAATGATCTTCTAGCATTTCGAATTTTCGGTACGACAACTTGAGGGATAAAGAAAACAAAATTGAACGAGATTTTTCCCAATACTTTGCGATTCGTCTTATATCAAACCCAAAGACGGATAAGAAGCACAAGCCTAGTCGAGGTCGTTTTCTAGTGCATACGCATATACGCGCGCAGTTTCGTTCCTGCTACTTCAGAAAACCTTTCGATACGACCTATTTCCAAAGCAAGGCGTGGTCTTCAAACGGGCTTAACGTAGAAAAAAAAGGAAAGTGAGATGAACGAAATAAGAGACAAGGGAGAAAGAGAAAGAGAAAGAGAGAACAAATTAGGAAAGGAGCAAGAAATGTAAGCTGTGCTTTTCGCTAATCATTTCTAATTAAATGTTGATTGCTTATAGGAACATAAATATTGTCGATATATATAATTTAATAACTCAAACAATCAAAAAATTGATCTTAAGAGTGCATTCACGTCAAGGATCTTAACGGCCTCCATGCATTTTTATATCTGACATTCATTTTAAATTAATGAAATTTCTTTTAAAAGGTTATTATTAACTTGACAAAATATGACAAAAGCGATCGATGGAAACAAAATAGGGCAAATTTAGATATCTTTTTTAGTATTTTTTTTCTTTCAG